CTGGCTAAAAGCTCCCAACATTAGCCATGCCACTGCCTCAATATTTAACTGCCTTGAAATATCTCCTGCAAGATTAATAAGTCCACCTCTCCTAAACTCAGTCTCAGCAAAGTCTCTGAATGTGAAAAAAATGCAGACAAACTTTCTGCCAAGCCATAACACATATCATCTGGAGTCCAACAACCAATGCAGTCCTTTTTCCTAGCAGAAAATTACATAGCCTGGTCTTTACAGCTTTCTGGTCTTAACTCTTCCCCTTTCCACAAGCCAGTTCCAAAGGCTTTGGAGCCACATGGCCTGTCTGGTACCAAATTTCTGTGTTAGTTACTTTACTCTCATTGCGGACACAAAATACCCAACATCCAAAGTTAGAGGGGAAGGCATTTATTTGGCATATAGTTCATAGAGATGACAAAGAGTTATGGCAGAGCAGAAAACATGGTATGCACAAGGAAGCAAAGGCAACAAGGGGAGTTTAACAGCGTCTCCCTGACCTTTTTGTCTTATTCAGACTTAGTGTGGGTAGCACTCACACCCTTAATCCTAGAGCCCTTGAGCTGAGCAGTGCATCATGAATCAATTCCAGCTTCATACTTCATCAAGCCTATGACCACATGAGGCTTTGGGGGGACATCTAGATCCAAACCATTACAGTACCCTACAATTTGATTCAATTCAATTCTGACACCATCTACCTAGAGGTAACGTTAATCTAACAGGTTGTGGGCTCAGTCTTACATGAATGCCCCTGTTTCAGATGCTTGTTATCAGTCTCAGGTTGTCACCTAAAGATCTGACCAACCAGGTATAAATTAGAGGTTTTCATATCACTTCTTCATATTTGATGCTTTGCTCTCACAGCTCACAAAATTCAGGGAAACATGCACTTACATTTGATTATTCACATATCCTTACTAGAAAGAATGCTACAAAGGAGAGAGGTGAACACAGGACAAGGTCAGAGAGAGTGCTAAGCATAGGAGAGCCTGCCTCTATTGACTTAAGTGAATACCATTTCTCTTGTACAAGGTTCTATTCACCACCCCAGAAGTTTTCAGATTTTATTATTTAGGATTTTTATAGAGGTTCTATTACAGGAATATGATTGGTTAAATACTCGGTCATTTGACTGAACTCAGTCTTCAGCCCCTTTTCCATCCAAGAAGGTAAATCAGTAGGACTGAAAGTTCCAACATTTTAATCACTACTGATTCCTCCAGCAACTAGTGCCCTTCTTGAAGCTATCTAAGGTCTACCAACCACCAGTCACTTATTAATATACAAAAAGATAGGAAACTCCAACCAACATCAAATACTATACCAAAGATGCTCCTATCACTCAGGAATTTATAACCTTTACATTCAGAAAAAAGCTCATGGGCTGGTGATATAGCTCAGTGGGAGAGCACTTCCATACCCTAGAAAGGCCTGGGTTTGATTCCCTCACTGCAAAATTAATTTGGAAATTCTATCTCAGGAATTGATGGGTAAAGATCAGATACATATTTCTTATTACACCACAGAGAATTTTGGAGAGAAATACAGGAGGGATTTTTTTTTAACAGAGGATATGAAGACATATGGGACATTAGCATAAAGGCTCAAATGTGAAGTTCTAAGCCATTATGTGGATACCACAAAAAAAGGAGGAACATCAGGCTGGTCCAGAGACTAGCTGAACTACTTAGGAGGATTTTAAAAAGTATATAAGTATTGTTAATGATTTTTAAGTAGAGTATAAAGATGAGCACAGAATGATTCAAATGTCTACCATACAAATAAATCATAATATTAAACAATACATAATTTATATGCTTGTAAGAAAATTTGAAACAGTACCTGAGGAGATTTCGTAAAAAATGTGGAAGAGGATTGATCAAAAACAAGGATGGTGTCTAAAGAAGAAATAAGAGGGCAGAAGATTCTCAGTGAATCTTGTGAGGAGCAATGAGAAACAAAATACTCATGGCCTTAGTTTCCTCAATGTACAGGGCATGGCCAATAAGGTAAGTTCAGTTTTAACTAATTAAGACTGATATGATGGAATTCATAAGCAAGATAAAGGGAGTGGAGGTGTAGCTCAATTGCTTAGCATGTGCAAGGCCCTTACTTCAAAACCAACATTACTAAAGTAGATTGTGAGGTAAAGGTACCTTTCATCAAGAGAAGCACGTATCAGGTAGCATATCAAGAAAACATACAGCAATCCTTATGAAGAGAGGGGGTACTTATCAAGTACATAGAATGTTCCAGAAACTGTTCTGGGTGACAGAATCTGACACTTGCTGTCAAGGAGTTCATAGACTGCTACGGATCATTCAGGTCTGTACAATCACTGCTTCTCCCCAAAACACAGGAGTTTGGCAAAACTGGCTCTGAGGAAATGAGGGAGCCTCATAGCCCTCAAATCATCTCATTGTGTTTAGGCACGTTAGGGTCTTCATATGAGCAAGAGGGGAGAGAGAATGAAATGAGACAATAGACAACATTTTCTTTGTTTTTTGAAACAGGGTCTCACTATGTAGTTGAGACTGATCTGGACCTCACTAGGTGGCCCAGGCTGGTATTGAACTCACAGCGATCCTCCTGCCTCAGCTTCCCGAGTGCTGGGAATTAGACAACATTTTCATGCTGTTTCATTCCCAGGCCATCCTTGACTTCTTTCCTCCCAGCTGGTTCCCTAGAAACCAACCTTATCTGAGTTGAAGAAAGGAAGGGGTAGTAGTTATGCTCTCAGTCTAAGGAGGTTGAGAGAAAAAACTTGTGTCTAAAAGAAAAAATTTTGACTTTTAAAGATCCATTTTCCCCTGTCAGTTACAAGCCTATAATCTTACATTGCTTTTAGAATTCAATCAAGGGTAATGGAAATACATCAAATATAATATATTGTTCTAGTAAGACCATAAAGGCATAACCACAAAACAAAACAAAAACTGTCATTCTCTGAAAGCTCTGATATGCAGTCAGCTTTTTAAAAATATATGGAAGAGCCAGGGATTTAGCTCAGTGGTGCTCTGCCTGCCTGGCAAGTGCAAGGTCCTGAGTTCAATTCCTGGTACTGGGAAAAAATAATTTAAAATGTGCAGAAGATGGAAAGGAAGGAGCAGAACCAAGGAAGACTTTGCAAAGTTAGACATTAGGAAGAACAATGCAGAAATAGAGATGGGGCTTGAATTTCTTCCTTAAGTAGCTATCTTTATTGAACTATAGCATACATAGTTAAAAGCACATCATTCACAACTGCACTGCTCATGTTCACAAAATGAACACACCCATGTAACCAGCATCCAAATCAAAACACAAAACATTGCCTGCATCCTGAGAAACATCTTTATATCTCCTTTCAATCATTACACCAAAACACTGCAATCTCCCCTAGGCTAACTACTAACATCACATTTAATACTACAGTTTTGCCAAAAGCAGTTCACTTTCTTTTTTATTTATTTTTATTTATTTGTTTGTTTGTTTGTTTGAGACAGGGTCTCACCATGTAGTTGAGACTAACCTGGAACTCACTATGTAGCCCAGGCTGGTCTCCAATGCACAGCGATCCTCCTGCCTCAGCCTCCCAAGTACTGGGATTACAGGTGTGCTCCATCACACCAGGCTCTCACTTTATTTTTTAAAAAATTACTTTGCTAAGGTATTAATTTGTAAATCAAGATAATAAATATTTCCATCACCCCTGAAAGTTTCCTATGTTCCTCTCTAATCGATCCCTCCTTCTACCCCTTCAATGGGCATTTTCTGATTGTCAATACTATATACTATACTAGTTTGCATTTTCTAGGACTTTATACAAATGGGATCATGCATTAAATACCTATTTTTAAAATCTATCTTCTTTTCAGTCAGTGTAATGATTCTGAGATTCATCCATGTTCATGAGTGGTGTGGTCCTTCTGTTGATGAACAGTACCCTAATGCATGGATATATCACAGTTTGTGTATATATTTGCCTCTTGACACATTTAGGTTGTTTACAAGTTTATGCTATTCCATATAAAGTTGCTATGAAAAGACTATGTGACCATATCTTTATATAAATATGAGCTTTCGCTTTTCTTGGACAAGTTCCACTAAGAGTGGGATGGCTGAGTCATATTGTGTTTACCTTTATAAGGCACTGCCAAACTGTCTTCCAAAGTGGTGTGTGATTTTATAATCTCAGCAGCAATCTATGAGAATGTCAATTACACCACATATTCACCCATATCTGGGATTATCAGTCCTTTAAGTTTTTAGTCATTCTAATGGATGTGTAGTATCGTCTTGTAAGTTTAATTTGTATTTTCCTGATCGCTAGTGATGTCAAGCCTTTGTTTATGCTTTTATTCATCATTTATATATCTTTTGTGAATTATCTGAGTTTTTTAAAATGCCAAGATCATCAAAAGGGACTTAAGTGTTCCAAGTGAAGAGAAGTGATTGCTTCTCAGCCTTTTGGCTAAGATCAAGGACAGAGTCAAGAGAAGTGAGAGTGGAAAATAGAGGCACTGTTGTAAGGCAATAAGGACTTTGTTCTCTAACACCTATTCTACTTTTATCTTTGGTTTCCAGAGAAATATAGTGAGGCTAAAATGAGAAAGAGCCGTCCCACAAGTAGGATGAAATACCACCTTCATGAGACAAATTGGAGAGTAAAAAAGGGAGTTAGTGGTCCATGAATATCACTTCTTTCTTTAGAACCTAGAAATTTCAGTTAGACATAGAGCAAGTAACTATCTCTGTTTGTTGAGTAGTAAGAGAATTCCCAGGATGCAGGACATTCAGTGCTACAGCCAGAAAAGACCAGCAGAAACCAGGATATCTTGGTCACTCAAGATCAACCCTTGGCTGTACGAAATGAAGATTATTGTTTCCCAGTCTAATTTGTAGCTAGAGGTAGCCATGTGGTTAGCTTTTAGCCAGTAAAATAAAAGTAAAAATTATCTGTGAAATTCTTGGGCTGTTCACACTGAAGCATATCTCCTTTTTTTTCCTTTCTGTCTTCTCAGTGGCTCAAACAAAAAGGTGAAAAGAAGAGCAGGCGTGCTGTTTTAGCCTGGGAGATGGAAGCTGCCTGTTACAAATGCCACAGCAGTAAGCAAGAAGGACATCCTTGTGGTGTCCTTGTGATTATGCAGCAGCCTACCTAGTTTGTATGTGTGGGAAAAATAAACTATTTTAACTAAGCCCCTGTATTTTAGGTCTCCTTTTTCAGCTGCGTACATTATATAATATATAACAGCACAACCAGGTAGGCTAAATGATTTCAATGGGTCCAAGTAGAAAGTTGTTTTCCTGGTTTAAGTGGGGAAGGTGCAAGAAAACTAGTACTTCTTGAGCATTGCAAGTGCTAAGCACACTACTGCTGGTTGCTTTATACAGGATATTTCATTTGTTCTTTACCAAAAAAAAAAAAAAATCATACCAATAGAGTTTGTTGAAAAAATAATAGGAAACAAGAAAAGTAGATGAAGGCTAAGTTTTTTACTTTCAGAAGAGAGGAGGCATAGTCCTTATATTCCCAACTGATGAGTTTGGTGGAAATCTTGGGTCATTTTTAGAGTGGATTAATAAAGGGTGGTTGGTGAAGAATTAAAAAGGGAGGAGAGAATGCTAAGCCTTAAACAAATGTGGCAAGAACCAACCTTGTTAAACTTGTCTTTGTTTCACTATTTTGAGAGGGTTGCTGTACTGGTAGGTTAGCAATAATGTATTTGCATCAAGTCTATCCATGACAAGAACATCCATGACAGCCATACAGATTTGTTCTAGGTATGAGTAAGTGGATTAATAATTAATTAAGCACTCACCCAAAGGGTCCTGAGTAAGTGTATCAATATCATCTTGGAATGTGCCACGATCTGGCTAAATTTATTAGTGATTTGGATGACTAGATAGTGAAGTACTCATGAAGCTGACAGATGACATGGAACCAAGAAAGATAATAAACATTAATGAAGACAGAATCAGAACCAAAAAATCTTGCTGGCTCGAGTGAGTATTTATGAACTTAGATTTAAAATAAAACAAAAACCTAGCCAGTTTGCATGGGAGAGGGAGAGCCAGGGTACAGCACTTGACAAGAATGCCCAAGGCCCTGGATTCAATCCCGAAGACTGAAAAATAAAAGAAAAACAAGAAAAGGAAAAATAGGATGGGGGAATTAATTTGTAGTAGGAGAAGAATTAGGGTGTTTTAAGTAATAGCTTAAAATGAATCAACAGGGCAAAGTTTGAGCAGTCTGGTCGACTGCATTGCTGGAGTGACAGTCAGCTGTAAGGGGTATGGCTACACTCGCAACGTCTAAACTGGCAGTTTTTGTTTTGTTTTGTTTTGTTTTGTTTTTGCCACATTGCAAATGCTAAAGGAGCACAGCTTAGAGAAGGACAGGAGTAGGTTGACTCTGCCACTTTAGGTGGAGCAACCACTGGAGGGCTAACCTGTGGGCACCCTAACTCTATGTCTATGGACACAGTCTCTTTCTGGCTTCTGTACCTCACTCCTCTTTCCTCTGGCTTCCTGCCTACCCTGGAACTTCAGCATAGCACCCTGTTCCTGTTGTTTGTGTTGACACATTGGCTCTTCCTGCTTCTTTATGCTTTGGAACTCTCTTCCTCATCTGAGACCTTAGTATGCTAGATACTAGATGCACACAAAAATTGAGGTGCTTAAGGTAGGCAGTAGGAATGGTTATGCCCCAAGCATATCCTTATGAAGACTCTTTTCTGACTATGAGGTGCATAAAGATTCAAACCCAAAGTGACAACTCATCTTTATGCTCTTTTCTCCAAATTGTAGAAGTTGCTATGTTTCTGAGAAATAACTGATAGTATGGGACAGTATGTTCTATGCATATGTCATATAAGCTGTATATTATATACCACTGCTATCCTACTAATTAGTCACTATCTAGAGAAAAAGAGCTATTTAAAAATAACCAAGTGTTGAGCCAGGGATTTAGCTCAGCGGCACGATGCCTGCCTTGCAAGTGCAATTCCTGAGTTTGATTCCTGGTACCACAAACAAACAAACAAACAAACCCCACAAGAGTACTTTTGTTCTTTGGAAGCAAATGTTTGTTAATTGCTCCCACTGGCCTTGAACTTGTGATCCTCCTGCCTCAGTCTCCGAAGTAACTAGGATGACAGGCATGCACCACCATGCTCAGCATACTTTTAAAAGCCAAAAAGAAATCCCAGAAATTAAGAAATACAGTAATATTTCAAGAACTAGCAGAAGATCAACTTTTAAAAAAGGATGACATAAACAATAGTATAAACCAACTAGACTTGATGTACCTATGTAGAACATATCTTAAATAATTCTCCCCCAGAAAACAACTAAAACCTCTGAGTAAAAATTTAAAATATATGAATTTGTAAGTATTATAAGTATGAATTTATAAGAACAAGGACAACTCCCAGGACAAAAATGGAATGAAAACTGAAATCCAGGCAAGAAATACAGCATGGCAGTTGGCTCTCTCCTAGAGGCCAGGCTATTTGCTCAACCCTGGCGACCTGAGCTGTCAATGGATGTCCCTTCAGGGTGTGACAAAGAGGAGCTAAAATCTAAAGCCTGTCCAAAGTGCAGGATCTAAAAGGAGATGCTTGCATAAAGTTGGGAACACCAAGAGGTATAATGTGAATGTAATGATAGAGTACAAATAAACTCAGCCTGGAGAAAAAGACAGCAAGGAAACTGCCCCCATAATGTGAAATCCTCAGCAGGATTATACATGGGTTTGGGCCATAAGTCAATCTACCTAGGAGTCTTTAAAAACTTCACTTTAAAAATTTAAGTAGCCTCAGGCACCCTCAGAAGCAAGTCAAATCTTTTAAGAAAGAAAATGCCTTGAAGTCAGAGCACAAAGAATTTCCACAAAGTCTCAAAGAATAGAAGCTCTGTCAAGTATTACAGGATATACAAGAAAACAAGGTAACAGGAGTGAAACTTAGCAGGCAGTAGGCTCAATCTACATAAACTTTAGCTATTGAAATGATCAATACTAAATATAAAGTATGTTTGTTTAGTCTGCATACAGAAATTTAAATGGGAGGCAAAATATGATTAGAGAGAAAGTGCTAATTAAAAATAACCAAGTATAATTTTCAAGGACCAAAAGAAGTTCTAGGAATGAAAAATATAATATCTTAAGAACCAGGTAAAAAATCATTTAAAAATGGATGAGTTAAGACTGTAAGCCAACTAGACCTAATTGGCATGCATACAGCATTTCATCCAGGAACAGCAGAATATACATTACTCCATTCTTCTGAAGAATACACTGTGTATTCTTGGGATAAACCATATGCTAAGGCATAAAACAAGCCCCAATAAATTTTAGGATTCCTTTCTTT